GCCGTGGGGATGGCCGAAACGCACGGCCGAGTTCGGATGTTGGTACTGGGGGAGAAAGCAACGCCGCCACCAAAACCCAAAATATACCCCCCAAAACCACCCTTGAAAACATCCCTTTAGCCTGATGTTTGATCAGTTTTGAAAGCAAGCACTGATAAAATCCCAGTTTGGTTTTAAATTAATAACGTTAAGGACATATATGCATGTGTTTAGGAGATTAGAATTCAGAGCTTAATTGGAGGAATTTACAGTTACACCAAAATGGAAATCCCTGCTGTTCTTCTCTTCCTAAAACATAAATACATCTGCTAATGCAGATCTCGTGTATTAAAGGGTAATATTTTTTCCCCATATCATGTGGAAAAAAATTTTTGTTAGATATATAAATCCTCAGCACTAAAGAAATAAACTATTTGTCACCTTAAGGAGCAATTATTTCAACTAATTTCAATTCCTAGCTAAGAACACTGCTTTGCATTGTAAAAGTGAACCGGTTTAATACATCAAATGAACTCTGCATTTTATTTTCATTTTACTTACTTTATATCCTATATATTAATATCTGTGTAGGCTTCTGTATAGGTAGCCTTTATATGGATATGCATTAAGGCAGGAAATTCCAAGTATTTTTTGCTTATATTGCTGAGTAGAGGGTTGCATGCATTGTCTTATGAATCATATTCCAATGAATCATTAAGGTTTGAGAACCATTAAAATATGTCACGCAGTTTCTGGTTACTCAAAACAGCAATGCCTATGGTGGCATGTAATTTTCTCAGAATAATAGAAAAAGAAATTTAATTTTGACATGATATTTATAATCATGAAATTATTAGTCTTTTGTATATAAATACTGCTATTATTACCCCTTCTCTCTTTTCTATTCATATGCCAGTGTATTGTATAGATCCAATTTTTTTTGGTGGGTGGTGTGCAAGTGCAACCTATTAAGCTGTACCAAATACTAAAACTGAAATTCACTTTGACATCCGAAACATCTTGGTCTTATATTCAATGAAAAATTAAAAAAAACAAATTCAAATTAGCTCTGAATTAGCTTGCATCTCAAGAGGAACAAGCTAATTCAGAGCTAATTTGAATTTTTTTTTAATTTTTCATTGAATGTAATAGCCCTCAGTTTTGATCTCTACTGGAATACATTCATATAGATAAGAAAATACATTCTCCTTCTGCATTTATGGAGGGAGTGATTACTCACCCACTATTGTTTTAAAATGCAGCGCTGTATCAATGTAGACTGTAAATTCAAAAATTCCCAATGTTTTTTTTCTTGATCAGCAAAGCAGAGTGATCAGTGTCATTTCTTTTAAAGTCATCACAATGCGAGCGAACAAAAGCAAGCCTCATAGCAGGAATGGAACAGGCCAACTGGATTAAATTAGGACAAGTGATAAAACTGGGAGGTTTACTGGAGATGCTGTGCTAGCCTGTATATTTTGTAATCTTCCAAATACTTTATCTTTAGCTAATCCCATGTTCTTGGGCGGATCATTCACCTGAAAATGTTTACATTTGATAAAAATGTCAATCCTAATAGCATCCTTCAGCTGAAGACCTGTCATGCATAGATGAAGGCAAGAGGCAGAAAGAAAACCTATTTAACTGAAGCTTTGTATTAAAAATAATATATAGAAACAAGGATCTGTTTGGCCTTTTTTTTTATTTTTTAAGAAAAGATTGATTCAAGCAGCACTCACTGATTGCTACATAGAGGTTTGCACGTTTGTTTTTGACAGGTTCTCAATACAGCCTCCTCTTGGCCTTTCAAGCACGCACACTGTTATTTGATGGCTGAATCACATAGTGTAAAGAACAGCTCCACCTGGGTAGGACAGGAATAAGCACCGTGCTATAACCAGCATATAATTTAGTCATTCTGTCGCTTGAAGACTTGTCATCAGGATTCAAGATCTCTTCTGCATGAGTAAATTGGTTAGTTTTGTGCACAGAATTACAAGGCTGGGAGTCTTTACAGTAATAAAAATATAATAAAACGTAAACAAAAGCTGCAAAAATCAATGTAAATATCTCATGTCCAGCTGCAGCTATCCTCTGTCACAGTTCAACTCAGGTACTCTCAAGAAATGTTTGTAAAGCATTTATGCTGTGAGCCATTTTGATCCTCACATCTGACAGGGTTATGTACTCGAATGTGTCACCTTTTAATAGTTCTCCACTTCTCATTGTATTTGTTTTACTAGTCCCCAGATTGGATTTGAAGGAAAAATAAAAAAGCACCAATAAAAAAACCCCAAACACCAATGAGAAAAAGCACTTTTCTGTCTAGTGAAGGAAGAGCAAGTAACAAGTTTTATTGGTAATACTCTTGGAGAAATTTTAGCAATGAGATAAGACCTGATGGTAATAAACTTTTCTCAACTTGGATATAAGGGTAGAGAATAGAAAACTGAAAGATATAATTTACAGAGTGTCGGCAGTGGTTGAATTTAAAAAGTTGAAGGCTATTCTGGAAACATTTCCAGCAGCTCATCCCTCTTTAAGCTCATCCCCCCATGTAAACAAATGGGGATGAATTTTGACATTAAAAATAAGCTGTATATGAAACAGGGTTACTTTGTGGCTTGCATGCATAGCTGATACAAGAGTCTGAATAGAAGCAGCCCCTGTAGAACACTGGCTTATCCTGTGAGATCTGCAATGGGGCTTTACCAGTGTCACAGCTAATTCAAACCGAATGCATTACCACATGCTGGAACAATCCCTTGCTAGGAATGCTCAGATTTGTACTGTAATAATCTAAAAATAAATTGTAGTCACTGATGTCACAATGTATGATTCTTTCAGCTGTCTTCTGCGCTGAGCCCACACACCACTCATTGTCATAGGATGTATTTCAGTAAGTGTGTACCACTGGCGAGCTTCAGTGGAGGGTTAAGATTTTCCATGCTTGTCTATCTTCTGTTATTTATGTGCTAACTAAGATTTGCAAATTGATGGGGAGGCTGAGGTACTCTTACTGACTCTGCAGTTACTGTTACAATTTCATATATAGTATGAATATAAGTAGAAATTTGTATTTACTTGTGTATGAATTTATTTTGAAATGAATTAGAAATACTTTTGAGATTTAGTTACACAGATCATTAAGACTAAGCCCCTTCAATGTTTCACCATAAAAGATGACACATGAAATAATACTGTCATGATTTGATGGTAGCAAACTTCCATCTAGCAGTATTTTTCAGATTTTCATCTGTTGAATGCAGCGTTCAAAATG